TAAAATGAAATAAAAATGACACCTTTGGGCAGTTTTTATTCATGTGGTAGTGATGTGAATAATCCCCCTGGATCCCTGACATGTCCAAGGCCAGGCTGGACAGGGCTTGGAGCAGCCTGGGACAGTGGGAGGTGTCCCTGCCATGGCAGGGGGAGCTGGATGAGCTTTGGTGTCCCTTCCAACCCAAAGCACTCCATGACTCCACAGTGGCCAGCAGTTTTTTGGCTGGCAAAGCTCATCAGGCCAGTGTGGAAATCCAGTCTCTGCTGCCTTTCAGACCCACCGGGAGCTGGTGAAGCTGGCAGAGGGCACAGGCTTCAGAATCCACATGATCCACAAGGCAGCTGAGGCAGCCAAGAAGTTTGGGCCCAAGTCTTCCAAGAAATTTGGTAACTGTTCTAACGACTGAAGTGCTTCTAAAAAAATTAAAAAGTGACACTGACCTTTCTCTTTGGGCTGTGTGGTTTTAAAGAGATGCTTAAAAAGTGTCAGGGAAGAAATGGGAATGAGAGGACATGGACTCTGCTAAACTGTACCTCTGGCACCTTGGGTTGGATCTGGTGTTTCTCAGGGCTCTGTTGGGTTTATTTTGTGTCTTTCTTTGACATTTTGCTTCTCTTTTAATAGACATACTGGTTACTACTCCCAACAGACTCATTTATTTGCTGAAAGAAGATCCTCCAGCAATAGACTTGAGCAGGTAGGAGAGTCTCTTTGCAGTGTGCTTTGCCACTCAGCAGTGGCTCTCCTGCACATCAAACCTCTTGTTCCTAGCGTGGAGTGGCTGGTGGTGGATGAGTCAGACAAGCTGTTTGAGGATGGGAAGTCAGGATTCAGGGACCAGCTGGGCACAATCTTCCTGGCATGCACCTCCCACCTGGCCAGGAGGGCCCTGTTCAGCGCTACCTTTGCCCACGACGTGGAGGAGTGGTGTAAGCTCAACCTGGACAACCTTGTGCTGGTGTCTGTTGGGGCAAGGTAGGTGTTGTCTGCTTCTTTTTTAAAAAAAATTTCCTAGGAACTTGTTTTCTCTGCATCAGCAGCCTGCTTGGTTGTGTGGCTGTTGTTAGTCAGCACTGCAGGTTGTTTGTCTCCAGAGAAAATTGTGTAGGCACGTAGATCTTTCTCTTGTGTTGAATGAAGTGTTCTTTTCCTTTGCCAATTACTTTATCATCAAATAAACATCAGTCTTAGGAGCATGCACTGGTGAAATAGGTGTTATTGTGCAGTATTTCTCATCCACCAGGTTATATGTTTATGGAGGTTATATATACTACATAAATTAATTAATATATAAGTTTTTGTTAATGTATATAAAAAATACTGAAGTGTTTCTCTTGGATTTCTGGTTTCAGAAACTCTGCAGCAGAGACAGTAGAACAAGAGCTGCTGTTTGTTGGATCTGAGACAGGAAAACTAACAGCAATGAGAGAGCTTGTTAAAAAGGTATTTTGGAGACACTGAGCATGTTCCTCTTCCTGTTCAGCTGAGCTATGGTCTGTCAGAGACTCCCAATTTCCCAGCTCAAACCCTTCTCTCATGTCAAACCATTGCCCAAATCTGCTGTGTCTCAGTTTCTGCAAGGAAAAGGACTTTGGAACCTGAGATAAACTTATTCTTTTGCAGGGTTTTGCTCCTCCAGTCCTTGTTTTTGTACAGTCCATTGAGAGGGCTAAAGAGCTTTTCCATGAGCTTATTTATGAAGGCATCAATGTGGATGTCATCCATGCAGACAAGACTCAGCAGCAGGTAGGAGGATTTTATTTCTTTTCAATAAATGATTTAGAAAGAAAGCTAAAAGCAGGAGTGTTGGAATGTAACTCCAGGTAACCGTGGCAGCAAATTCCAGCAGCAGGTTTTTGTTCAGAGGGTTTTAGTTTTATTCCTGAACATCATGACAACTTTAAGGAAACAGGTTCACCTCTTTTCTCAATTTTCTGTTGGGACTGTTTCCAAACATCTTTTCTGTTCTTTTCCTAGAGAGACAGAGTGGTGCAGAGTTTCAGAGCTGGGAAGATCTGGGTGCTCATCTGCTCGGCGTTACTGGCCCGAGGGATGGACTTCAAAGGTGTGAACATGGTCATCAATTATGATTTGCCAACGAGTGCAGTGGAATACATCCACAGGATAGGTGAGGCATGGCTCACCTCCTTTTCCCCATTTCTGAAGTTTTTAATGTAGATGCTCTTGTTTTTGTCAGCACTCTGTGAACCTTATTTGGATGTTTCATACATAGCTGTGCTTTCATTCACTGGGAGCAATGTTTGGGGGTTGGCTGCCTGGTGTGTCCTTGGTCTGTGAACATGCATCAAGGGGCTGGGGCTGTGAGGAGAAATAAAAGATGTCTGGAGTAAAATCTCTGCTCTGCAAAATGTGTGCTTGGCAGGTCGTACTGGAAGAGCAGGACACAGAGGAAAGGCAGTCACTTTCTTTACAGAAGATGACAAACCTTTGTTACGGAGGTAATATGTCTGGATTAATAATGGCTTTATTTCTTGCTTTAAAAAAAATCACTACAAAACAAAAGACCAACAACAAACCAGCCAGTTTGTTTGGTTTGCTGTTTTCCACAAAAAATATTTATGACTTGTCCGAGCACTGGAGTTGATCTCTTCCCTCCTCTCCTTTCCAGTATTGCCAGTGTTATCCAGCGAGCTGGCTGTCCTGTGCCAGAATACATTAAACATTTGCCCAAACTGCAGAGGTATGTTCATTTGAGCAGTTAACCACTCTTTTAATCAGTGCTTTTTAATAACTTATGGTAGTTTCTAGAACTAGAAACCCTAGTAATTTCACCTTTCTTCACTAAATTCTCAGCAAACAAAAGAAGAAATTCATTAAGAAACCTTTGACAAGAGAATCCATTTGTACCACCCCAAAGTGCTTCTTGAAAAAAGGCAAAGGAAAAATGTAAGTAGGTTTTGCTGAAGAGGAGGTAAGAGATGGGATTTGTCCAGAAACAGCCCAGAAGATTTAAACAAAGTAACAGATAACTTGTTTGCATGAACCACCCAGTCATAACGGTTTAAGTGATGAAGTTTTAGTGTCAGTATCTGCTGGATTAATGACAACATTTTGCCTTGTGTGGTGCCATGTGTCAGGTGACAGCAGCCTGAATTTAAACCACTGGTTATGTTCAGGTGTCTTCATCTCTGATGTGTTTCTTGTAGGCAAACTACAAAGGAAAATACTAAGGGAAAGAAGAAAGGTAAAGAAGACAAAAATAGCAGTAAATTACAGACTGTTGCAGAAAGCTGAATTCAGGCTGGTGAGCTGGGGCTGACACCTCTGTGTGTGCTGGAACAGAAGAATGAAGATGGCAGCGATGGTGAAAGAAGAATAAGATTTCTCATGTTTCCTTTGGGGTGAAGGTGGAGGTTTACATGCTAGAAAATCTCTACTGCAATGCCAGAAGAGAATTCCTGGATGCTTCTTGTAGAAGCTGGAGTGTGTGCTTGTGCCGTGAATGCTGTGTATTTCTGAGAGTAGTTCAAAACCAGCATCAGTTTGTGTTACTTTCACAGAAAGTACTGTCTGTGTTCAAATCACCCCTAATACAGTTTTTAGACACTTCCAGGAGATTCAGAGACAAAAACCACACAATGTTTACCATCAGGTTTGATAAATGCAACTGTCAGAGATTTCTCTGGATGCTTCGAAAAAGCCAAAACAAACCCACTTGTATGTGAAAGTAAAGCCTGCCCTACTGTTTTTATTCTATAAAATTATTTTGAAATAAACTAATACTTTACATGCCCATTAATTTTGTACGGTTTTATAACTGAGCCTGAAACTAGAATAAACAAGGTCATAAGATGCTAATTCAGAGATCTGTGTGTCTGTGCAGCCTCGGTGGAACAAGTCTGCAGGCAAAAAAGGCCCAGCTCTGTGCATTTCCCCTGTCTTCATCTGCCCAGCGTGTTCTCAGCCCATCCTGCTTTTGTCATCAGAATTCCAGTCAGGCAGGAACGGCTTCTTTGCAGCTACAGTCCTTTAAGGAAGAATTTCTGGACAGGATTGTCTTGGTTTAGTCTAGTTGGGATGGGGCAGCCACAGCACCCTGTGCCAGGGCATCAGCACCCTCCCAGGGAGGAATTTATTCCCAATATCCCATCTAACCCTCCCTCTGTCGTATGAATCCATTGCCCCTTGTCCTGTCACTTCAGGCTCTTGTCACATGTCCCCAGGTGACCCCTGGGGGAGGTCGGGTGGAAAGGCAACACTTAATTTTCCTTTTTACGGAAAAGCGGTGGTTTGGATGCTGGAAACCGGCGTTCCCGAGGGGAAGCCGGGGCCACTCATCCCCATCCAGGCCGTTCCCGGGTTACCGTGGGGTTGTGGGGCTGGGAAACCGAGGTGATGTGGGGCTGTAGAACCAAAGAATCGAGGGGTTGTGGGGCTGAGGAACCGAGGGGCTGAGGGAGTGTGGAACCAAAGAATCGAGGGGTTGTGGGGCTGAGGAACCAAGGGGCTGTGGGAGTCTGGAACCAAAGAATCGAAGGGTTGTAGGGCTGGGAAACTGTGAACCGGCCGGGCTTTGGGTCGGTGGAGCAGAGGGATCGATGGGCTGTGGAATGGAGGAATGGAGCTGGGCTGTGGGGCTGTGGAACCGAGGGGATGTAGGGCTGTGGAACAGAAGAATGGAACTGGGCTGTGGGACCGTGGAACCAAGGGGCTGTGGGGCTGTGGAACCGAGGGGCTCTGTGGGTGTGGAAGCGGGGAGCTGCGGGGTCGTGGGGCTGTGGAAACGAGGGGATGTGGAACAGAGGGGATGTGGGGCTGTGGAGCCGAGGAGCTGTAAGGCTGCGGCTCTGTGGGGCTGTGAAACAGAGGAACCGAGGGGCCGTGGCTCTGTGGGGCCGTGGAACGGAGGAGCCCAGGGGCTGTAGAACGGGGGAGCGGCGGGGCCGGGGCGGTGCCTGGCCGGGCCGGCCCCGGAAGCCGCCGCCGCCGCTCCGCTGACAGACGGCGGGGCCGAGC